CGAGCGACTTGTCGGGAGTCACTGCGCCGAGAAACCATTCAGTTTTTCATAGCGCCGCGACTTTCGTCGCAGTTTTTATTTTTTTATTACAAAGATTAAGGAATGAAGCGGGTGTTGAAAGATGGGGAATTTAATTCTCCATCGAACAGCATTGGCTTCATTCCTTAATGTTAATTAGGAGCAGAGATACGATTTTTTAATTAGCGGGCGAGTTGTCGGGAGTCACTGCGCCGAGAAACCATTGAGTTTTTCATAGCGCCGCGACTTTCGTCGCAGTTTTTATTTTTTTATTACAGAGATTAAGGAATGAAACGGGGGTTGAAGGATGGGGAATTTAATTCTCCATCGAACAGCATTGGTTTCATTCCTTAATATTAATTAGGAGAAAAGAGACGATTTTTTAATTAGCGGGCGAATTAATGGGGAAGCGCTCTGCGCCGGAAAACCATTGAGTTTCTTATAGCGCCGTGACTTTCGTCGCAATATTAATTTTTTTGTTGCAGAGATTAAGGGATGAAACGGGGGTTGATGGATGAGGAATTTAATCGTCCATCGAAGAGTGATGGTTTCATCCCTTAATATTAATTTAACAGAAAAGATACGTTTTTCGAATTAGCGGGCGAGTTGTCGGCGCCGAAAAATCATTAGGTTTTTCATAGCGCCGCGACGTTCGTCGCAGTTTTAATTTTTTCATTCCAGAGATTAAGGAATGAAACGGGGGTTGAAGGATGGGGAATTTAATTCTCCATCGAACAGCATTGGTTTCATTCCTTAATCTCTGGAATGAAAAAATTAAAACTGCGACGAACGTCGCGGCGCTATGAAAAACCTAATGGTTTCTCGGCGCAGTGACTCCCGACAACTCGCCCGCTAATTCAAAAATCGTATCTCTGCTCCTAATTAACATTAAGGAATGAAACGGGGGTTGAAGGATGGGGAATTTAATTCTCCATCGAACAGCATTGGTTTCATTCCTTAATGTTAATTAGGAGCAGAGATACGATTTTTGAATTAGCGGGCGAGTTGTCGGGAGTCACTGCGCCGAGAAACGATTGAGTTTTTCATAGCGCCGCGACTTCCGTCGCTATATTAATGTTCTTATTACAGAGATTAAGGGATGAAACGGGAATTGTTGGGTGGGGAAT